ATTGAGCGAGTTAAATAATACCAAATAATTAGCAATTACAGCTCGGGAAAAGGAATTATTGATTTCTCCTTATGCCGTCTGGATCTTAAGCATGTAGTAAATATTATTTTAAAGGCCGACGAATAGTATGTCATTCCGAGTATTTTTTAACACAGGAATGCAGAAACGAAGTTTAACTCGCTCTAATTAAAAACTCCTTTTTCCAAATTCCTATGACATTCAAAGCTTTTTCCAATGGTTTTTTGTAATCTGCCATGTTTCAGGAAAGGTTGTCTGGGCCAACTCTACTTGAGCATATGGCATATCTTTGAGAGTTGTTTTTTTATAGTGAAATTCGGGAATACTTTAATCATACACGAGCAGCAGGGATCAAAATCTGATATTGTCAAGTCAAAGTCTTTTAAAACATTGACTAATAGTTTTGTACATATTTGTTCATAATGTTTACCAATCTCTTCGTATAAAACTTAATTATCCGTCTCCAGGCTAAGTATTTCTGCTACTTCACCCAACTCTTGAACTCTTGACCCCTTTCGTTCATTTTTCGTAACACAACAGATCTTAATTTTGCAATCCAATCTCGAAATTTGCTTAATATTTCTATCCGTTTCAATCTAGTTGTATTTTTATAATTTAGTTAGTTATAATGTTGATCGACAATTCGGACGCTTCGACGGTTCCTGTAATCCTGTTATCTAATTAATTAAGTCCGGAACTAAAACCTGAAAATTATGCATCTGCATTTTGCATAAATAATATTACACAAACTTGGCATCTGCATTTTGCATACACAAACAATTATATATACTCGAATAAAGGCGTTTAAACGTTTAATTGTACTTATCCTATTTTTTTTTAGGAATAATTCCAATAAAATTATCTAGTAATGGCTCAAAATAACAATAAAGGTAAAGCATATAGCATGAATATAGAAATCTAATACAAATTGAAATTATTCTAAAATTTTTCCAAACAAATTTGCAATATAATATAACTAGTTTCAAGAATTGAGGAAAATAAAGGTAAGAAAATAATTAACAGTTTATAAATTATAAACATAATTTAAATTTAAATAAACCATCATATTTTACTATATAATTTTATTATTAATATTATTACAGTTGGTAAGTTAATAGCCATTTATTTTTTATTGTATTTTATACGATATCTCAAATAATTAAATTTTCCATTAATATAATTGTTTAATAATTACTAATATTATAGAAAGTAAGTATTTAATTTTATATTAATTTAAAAACATATAAATTTTAAACTAATAATATTATTTGTTATTTATTTAAATAATTAGATTGTAAGTTGCTGCATTTTTTTAATTTTTATTTACAATTATAGTATTTTATTAATTGATTATAATAACTTTACTTCAAAATTATTGCTAATTAATAATGCTACAGGGTGTAAGTTATTTATTTAATTCTATTATATTTAAATAATATTTACATATAATTTAAACTAACTAAATTCTTTATTTAAAAAAATTATTCAAATATTTTAGATCGTAAGTAATTTATCATATTTATAATATTTACATTTAATTTAAACTAATTAAATTCTTTATTTAAAAAATTATTCAAATATTTTAGATTGTAAGTAATTTATCATATTTATATAATATTTACATTTAATTTAAACTAACTAAATTCTTTATTTAAAAAATTATTTGTTTAATAATATAGAGAGTAAGTTATTTATTTAATTCTATTAAAATTATATAATATTTACATATAATTAAACTAACTAAATTATTTATTTAATAATATAGGGAGTAAGTTATTTATTTAATTCTATTAATTCTATTATATTTATATAATATTTACATATAATTAAGCTAACTAAATTCTTTATTTAAAAAAATTGTTCATTCAATAATATAGAAAGTAAGTTATTTATTTAATTCTATTATATTTATATAATAATTACATATATACAATTTAAACTAATTAAATTCTTTATTCAAATATTTTAGAAGGTAAATTTCTGTTATATTTATATAATAATTACATATAATTTAAACTAATTAAATTCTTTATTTAAAAATTATTCAAATATTTTAGAAGGTAAATTTTTGTTATTTATAATATTTACATATAATTTAAATTAACTAAATTCTTAAATTATTTTAATTCAAATATCTTAGATTGTAAGTAATTAATTATATTTATATAATATTTACATATAATTATGTAATTTAAACTAACTAAATTCTTTATTTAAAAAATTATTTATTTAATAATATAGGGAGTAAGTTATTTATTTAATTCTATTATATTTATATAATATTTACATATAATTTAAACTAATTAAATTCTTTATTTGAAAAATTATTCAAATAATTTAGAT